TATATATATATATATATAAACTGAATGCTGTTATTATATATTATAATATATATCTCAATTGAATTCTATTATTCTATATAATAATATAAAACAATATATATTATATATAACATATAATTCATACAAATGAAGTATATATAATATTTCATATAAATGAAGTCATACAATCTGTGGCCTTTGGTGTATGGCTTCTTCCACTTACCATCATATTTTCAAGGTTCATCCATGTGGTAGCAGGAAGCTGAACTTCATTCCTTTTTAGGGCTGAGTAACATTCCCTTTGTAGGGATAGACCACATTCTGTTCATCCATTCATCCGTTGGCGGACATTGGGTTTTTGCACCTGCTGAGTACTGGGAATAGTGCTACTCTGAACATTTGGGAACAACTATTTGTTTGAGCATCTGTTTCCATTTCTTTGGGAGATATCACTATGAGTGGAATTGCTGGGTCATCTGGTAATTCTTTTCTTTTTTTTTAAGATTTTATTTATTTATTTATTTGAGAGAGAGAGAATGAGAGATAGAGAGCACGAGCGGGAAGAGGGTCAGAGGGAGAAGCAGACTCCCCGCTGAGCAGGGAGCCCGATGTGGGACTCGATCCCGGGACTCCAGGATCATGACCTGAGCCGAAGGCAGTCGCTCAACCAACTGAGCCACCCAGGCGCCCCTCATCTGGTAATTCTCTTTTTACTTTTTGAGGAACCACCAATTCTCATTAGCCATGTGTGAGAGATCTAGTTTCTAGAGGGATCTAGCCTTGTCAACACTTGTTATCTTCCTGTTTGTTTTGTTTGTTTGCTTTTAGTAGGGGTGTTGAGTGTATCTCATTGTGGTTTGGGTTTGCATTTCCCTGATGACTAATGATGTTGAGCATCTTTTCACATGCTTGTTGGCCTTTTTAATATGTTCTTTGGAGAAATGTCTATTCTTTTGCTCATTTTTATTTTTTTATTTATTTGTTTATATATTTTTAATGTTTTTATTTTTTATTTTTTTAAAGATTTTATTTATTTATTTGAGAGAGAGAGAATGAGAGATAGAGAGCACGAGAGGGAAGAGGGTCAGAGGGAGAAGCAGACTCCATGCTGAGCAGGGAGCCCGATGCGGGACACGATCCCGGGACTCCAGGATCATTACCTGAGCCGAAGGCAGTCGCTTAACCAACTGAGCCACCCAGGCGACCTTAACGTTTTTATTTTTAAGTAATTTCTACACCCGATTCGGGGCTTGAACTCACAGCCCCAAGACTGAGAGTCACATGCTCTACCGACTGAGCCCACCAGGTGCCCCTTTGCTCATTTTTAAATGGGTTGTCTTTTTATTATTGAGTTATAAGAGTTCTTTATATATTTTGGATTCTAGACCCTTATCAGATATGTGATTTGCAGATGTTTTCTCCCATTTTGTAGGCTGTCTTTGCATTTTATTGATAACATCTTGGATGCACATATCTATTTTGTCTTTGGTGATTGTGTATTTGGTGTCCTAAGATTTTATAATCTGAACTCTTACATTTAGGTCATTGATCCACTTTGAGTTAATGTTTGTATATAGTATGAGGTAAGGATCCAACTTAATTCTTTCGCATGTGTATATCCAGTTGGTTCTAACACCACT